AAAGAAAGAAACATATAACAAGAGAAGACTTGTGTCTAGTGAGGAAAAACAGAAGGAATTCTTATTAAGTTACCTGTCTCTACTTCAGCAATATCAATAAAATGATCCTCCGAAGCTGATGCCAGCATTTTCCCATCATGGCTAAAACTGAGGGTCCTCACGGGCCAATCCAGCCTATCATAGGGTATGAACAAAGAGAATTACCCAGAAAAAGAAGGGTACAATTTTACCCAGGATGAACTAAAATAAACTTACCCAATGGAAAAGTGTTGACAATATTGCTTACCTGGAAAAGCACCGCACACACACTAACTCATCCACATCCCAGAGACTGACCAAAGCATCAGCACTTCCTGTAGCAAAGTACTTCCCCATAGGATCAAACTTGATGCAGATGCAGTTAGAAGGGTGAGCATTGATGGATTGCACAGGCTTCAGTTCCGGGTAGCTGAAAACAAGACAGACAACAATTAATCTGCAGAAGAGAACAGCAGTGCTAAGAAAACAATATAAAAGATGCGAAAAATCAAGACAATAATACAAAAATCATAAGTTAAGAAACTTTCCTGAAGTAAAAGACTGTAAGTCATATATGCCAAGAGCCTAACACATACATGAGAATAAGAACCTAGACCAAGCAGCCAACATGAAGACACAAGGTGATATAATTACTAGATGTTAAAGAAAAAGAGGGGCCGGGGAGATGGCTCAGTGGAATAAGTGCTTCCCTGGCAAGTGCAAGGGCCTGACTTCAAGCCCTGGTTCCGCAAAAAAAAAAAAAAAAAAAAAAAGAAAAAGAAAAAGAAAGTTAGATTATCAGCAGACTTTCTGGCAGCAAGGCATTGTCAGAGAAAGTGGAATATTTAAGATAACATAATCATAACCAGGCATGGTCCCACATGACTGTAATCCCCTACTACCTACAAAATCAAATCCATGTTAGTAAGTATAAAATTTAAGGCTTTTTGTACTCTGGTCACAATTTCAACTTTATACTCACCTTTATTATGCTCTCTCTTCATACCCTTACCTCAACAACCTTGACTACCTACTCTCCAAATATGACATGCACATTCATACCTTTTTTGTCAGCTGTATATTTGTCATTTGCTGATTCTTAAATTCTATTCACCTTTCAAGATCAAGCTCAGGGGGCAGGGAGATAGCTCAGTAAAATAAGTGCTTGCATGGCAAATGCAAGGGCCTGAGTTCAATCCCCAGTTCCGCAAAAATAAAAAAAATAAAAGATCAAGCTCAGGTGTGCCCCTTTCAAGCTGAACAGTCATTGTGACATGGTCTTTTTTAGGATTCCATACAAACTTTTTATCTTTCTCCCTCAGAACTTATCTTACTCTGCCTTCCACTGAACAGACCTGAATTTCAATTCCACGATTTCATTAATTTAGAAAACATATTTACTCAGATCCTACTATAATAACAGATAACAGATAACAAGCTAGGCATTAGTGATTCAGTAGGAAACATGGCAACACAACCTCTACCATTAAAGAATTTAGGGTAATGGGGGTAATAAGTAAATATGCAATCATAATATATAACAAGAAATACTCCCTAGATAAAAGACAATAGGTATGTCAAGTGGAATACATAAAAGTACATAAAACAGCCTCTAACCTTAAGGAGTGGAAGGATGGAAATGACTTTACTAGTGAAAGAGTGACATTTATATTGAAACTTTAATAGTAGCCACAAGTCAAATTTTATGTAGTCCTAGTACCTACTAACTGCAGCTTGTTAATCAATTGTTGGGTACAGAGGTTGAAATTGACATCAACCTCTCAAGGGTATAAATAAATGTTTTACAGTTCCTGGGCAGGTTCTTCTCAGCTGAAGAGAAACAGAGAACCTCCACCTAATTCAGTTATCTCTTGTCTATGTTTTCGTCATTCTCACCACAGTTCCACTTCACTAGTGGAAGAGTGACATTTATATTGAAACTTCAAGAGTAGTAGCCACAAGTCAAATTTCACGTAGTCCTAGTACCCACTAACTAGTGATTTAATCTTCCACAGTTCACTCTTCTGTAGTTCTGGGGGATACAGCAAAAGCGCTACAGATCCCTGTACAGGACAGTCTCCCAAGCTTACACCTCTCACCTGAGAATGTTGATACAACCATTGCCATTTGTCAGGAAGAACATATTGTTGTCGTTGTTCCAGGAAATTTCATTGACCTCAAACTTGAATTGTTCCTCTGCTTTGGAACGATGCGTCTTGGCATCAATAAAGGTCACCACATCATCCTTGTTGCCTACAGCAATGGTCTGCCCATCAGGACTCCAGCAGATATTAATGTTCTCCCCTGAAAAACCAGATATAATCAGCAAGATCACCTGTTTGCCCATAACCCTCTAAACGTTTATTCTGTTATTCTAAAACACCAGAGCTAGTCTTCAAAGCTCTAGTCAATGAACGAAAAATACCACTCATGAAGTATAAACTCTTTAGTCTAGCACATTCAGTAAAACTTTCCCATTTGGCCCTTACAACTCTTCTCTAAGGACTTTAGAGCCACAAATGAAGGAAAAAATGATAAGAAGGTATGCCAAGCTGTCAAAGCTATAAAGTTACACAGCCAAGACTTACACCCAGAACAGAGCCCAAGCTTTTCATTCCCTCCACCAGTATTTCTTAAATTGCATTCCCATGACACCTCCTAAGTTTTGTTCTATGTAACAGTAAGTTTACTTGCTCAAAATTTTTCTAAAAACTCACTCCAAAAAAAAAAAAAAACCTCACTCCAAAAATTTAGTTAGGGGGCTTGCTGGTTAGCTCAGTTGTTTAAGCGCCTGCTGGAGCAAACCCAGTCAGGTGCAGGGGACCGTGGTTTAAATCATTAGCTTGTAGGAGGTAGAGACTATCATATTCAGCTAACAAACATATCCCTAAGGATATACACAGTGTTGAGTGTCACACACAAGGAACATACTCAGTGAAAGGTTGTTAAACGAATACAAACTTATTTTACTAATGCCTTCTCTCTAAATACTTACCTTTAGTATTCACAGTGGCAATACATTTTGTAGTCCTCACATCCCAGATGCGAATGGTTTTATCTCCAGATGCCGTGACAAAAAGATCAGGATTACTTGGATGCCAACAAAGCTGGTCCACACTATCCCCATGTCCCCGATAATTGTTTTCTTTGACCTGAAAGAACAGAATCCAGACATCACTACACACAGACGTATCTGCCCCTACAGGCAACTTAACCTTATCTTGGGTTTAACCAAAAAAATCGACAATTCAAAAATCCCGTTCTTCCAAGAACAAATTCAAAACCCTCAAGATCCTCCTTTCTCTCCTCAACTGCTCGAAACTGTTCTAGGCTTCCATTCTAGATGCTCCTTTTTGCCCTTCCTGTCCTCTTTTGTGGTTCTCTACTCTTACTCTACCACCACGCCTAGCCATTCGCCCATTCCCAAAAGTCAGTCACACTATCACCACAGGTCTCCACCAACGCAAAAGCTCCTGGTCATTCATCACCACAGGGTTCCTCACCACCACCACCTCCCCCGTCCCATCGGTCCTCTTCACCAACCCTCCTGCTCTCCTCACTGCATCCCCTCAGCACCACACCTCCCCCACACACACACTCCCTACATACCCCGACCTTCCCCATCAGCACCAGTCTTCCCTTTCTCCTTGCCCCAAACTCCTCTTTCCTCTCACCACACACTGTCTCTCGTCTCCTCAGTCCCATCCACTCAACCCTTACCTTTCCCACACCACACGCCCACCTCGCCACACCAAACCCTCCTTCCCCGCCAGGGCCAGGTCCCGGCTCCACCCACTCACCAACCGGTCTTTCTCCAGCAAGAACACACTGGCTGTCTTGTCAAAGGATCCCGAAGCCAAGCGACGGCCGTCGCAGCTCCATGCCACAGAGTGTACCTTGGCACTGTGCGCCGGGAACTCGCGCGTCTTACTGTGGCCCCGGAAGAGCTCCTGCATTCCAACCACATAGCGCGACGGACCGCTGCTCACTGAGCACCAAGCGGCCATCGAGCCCGGACCGCTCTGGCCTAGCGCCGAAGGCCCCATAGCAGCAGCCGGAACCGCCATGCCGAAATTTAAGCTGACTAAAAACCCGCCCTCTCAACTACAATTAGTCCTCGCGCCGCCGCCTCACGCCTGCGCGCGGAGCCTCACGCCTGCGCAGGAAAGAGCGCTCGCGCATTTGCGCAGGCGCACTGCTGCCTCCCCAGGAAGGAACTACAAATTCCGGCATGCAGTGCGCGGCCGGTCTCCGCTCTTAAAAGCAGAGATTTAAATTTGTTTTGCTCTGAATAAGTCTGACATTTTTCTTTTTTTTGTTTGTTTGTTTGTTTTTTTTGAGTCTGACATTTTCATGGGCTTTATTTCTCTTTTACCTACTCCTTGGTAGATATAGTTGTACATTTAATTAAGGGAAGAAACCAATGCTTCTGTTCCGGTTCACCCATTGGTAAATTTGCCTCACTCTCGCTCCCTTAGAGCAGAAGCTCTGCGTTTACTGGTGTGTCCACTGTTAGTTTGTAGCTTGGAAAGGATTTGAAGAGGAAGGGTCTGGGGTTTTTTTAAAGGCAAAGCGTGATAGTGCGTGCACTGTATAGCAAATGCAAAAAATAATGTAAATATCCACGTCCTTACACGCGCGCACACGCATCTCTTAAATTAGGTATGTTTTGGTAGAAACAGGTGGTGAAGTTGTCAGCGCCCAAGAGAACTGAAGAAGGGGGTGAGGGCAGTTATGAATTTAAGAACAAAACTTTGTGACTCTCAAATTGCAATTACCTCAAAATTAAAACGTTTTAGGACTAGAGGTACAGCTCAGTAGTAAAGCACTTGCTTTGCATGCAAAAGCCCTAGTTGGTCCCCAACACTACAAAAATAAATTCTAAATTAAATATTTTGCTTTAAAAAAAAAAACTAGGGCAGGGGAGATGGCTCAGTGGAATAAGCGCTTCCTTGGCAAGCGCAAGGGCCTGAGTTCAATCCCTGATTCCACAAAAAATAAATAAATAAATAAACTAGGCCTGGGCTGGGGAGATGGCTCAGTAGAATAAGTGCTTCCCTGGCAAACACAAGGGCCTGAGTTCAATCCCCAGTTCCATCAAAGAAAAAAAAAAAAAAACTAGGCCAGATTAAAGCACCTGTTTACACTCAGGGACTGGGATTTGATCCCCAGTATGCTATGCTGGCCTGCCCCAGGGGGGTGCACTGAGACTGTGGTTGAGACTCAGCATGGTGTCACAGGCCTTTAATTCCAGTGCTTGGGAGACTGAAAACAGGAGGATCACTATGAGTCCAATCTGTATGAGACCCTTTAGACCCTGTACTAAGTACATGTAAAAAAAAAATCTTAAAAAAAAACCACTTAGGTTCATCTCACCCCAGTAAGAATGGCTGCCATTAAGAAATCAACCAGACCCAGTCCTAGCCCAGGTCCGGTGAGTGTGCGGAGAGCTTCCTGCTACCCTGTGCCGGTGGGATCAGTCCCAGCCCAGGCGCAG